CAAGCCAGCACCAGCGAGGGCTGACCAAGAATACAGGAGGCACTCACCGTGTACCGCCACCGTAGCCATACTCACGATTTGTCCAGTCTCGCCATCCGACGGCTGCTGCAAGACGAATTCCGCGGCAGAAATCGGATCCCCCCAAGCGCCACGAAAAGGCACTGGACGCGGCTGGAGGCCCATCACTAAGCCAAAAGCTACGGATGAACCCCGAGCCACATGTGCTTGAGTGGGGGGCACGGTGGGGGACGGAGGGGGACGGATGGGGGGTGGGGGACGGAGGAGAGAACGGATGGGGGGGTGCGGGACGGAGGAGGGGGACGGGGGGGGGATGGGGGGTGTCGGATGGGGACGGATGGGGACGGATGAGGGGGACGGGGGACGGAGGGGGACGCATGAGGGAGACGGGGGACGAAGGGGGACGGATGGGGACGAAGGGGACGGAGGAGGGTCTAGGGGACGGAATAGGGGGATGGAGAGGGACGAAGGCGGGGGGTAGGAGACGGACGGGGACGGACGAAGGGGGACGGAGGGTGACGGAGGAGGATGAGGATGAGGATGAGGATGAGATGAGGAGGAGGAGGAGAGGAGGAGGAGGAGAGAGGAGGAGGGAGGAGGAGGAGGGAGGAGGAGGAGGGACGGAGGGGGACGGAGGGGACGGTGGGGGACGGAGGACGGCGGAGGACAGCGGAGGGGGGTGGAGGGGGGTGGAGGGGGGTGGATGGGGCACAGAGGGGGACGGAGGGACGGAGGGGGACGGAGGGGAATGAGGAGGGGGATAGGCGACGGAGGGAGACGGAGGGGGACGGAGGATCGGGATCGAGGGACGGAGAAAACGGAGGGCAGGTGGGGGGCAGAGGGGAGGAGGAGGGGGACGGGGGACGACGGAGCGGGACGGAGGGGGGCGGAGGAGGGGGATGGGCGACGGAGGAGACGGAGGAGGACGGTCGCAGGGAGGGTGGGTGACGGAGGGAGCGGAGGTGCGGGGGGGTGGGGGACGGAGGGGACGGATGGGGTACGTCGCAGGCGGCTTCTCGCCCCCGATTCCTGGGGTCCCTTCCAGCAGAATGTCGCCGCGCATGGAGATATCCAGCTCGCGCCTCGCGCGGCGGCGCACGGCCGCGCCGTGCTAGAGGCAGGGCGTCCGCCGGCAGGCGGCGAGCCCCGCCACCGTGCCAGTGCAGCAGCGCAGCGTGAAGGAAGGGGTTTGGGTCTGAGACCCACGGCATGTCAGCGCGCGGTCTGGACTCGCATGGGTATGAAATTCGACCTCGGTCGCTCGGTCTTGGAGCCCTCCAAAGCTTTTACGAGGCGATCTGAAGAAGGAGGGCCTCGGGAGCAGCACGCGTGTATTTACCCATACGCGTTGCAAGGTTGTTCTCCTCTGGGCACCTCGCTGGATGCCTTTTTCGGCGTCGGGCTCTCAGGGCATTTTGCCGAGATGTCGTTGTGCAGTCGGCCCACATAATGAGGACTTACGCTAAGGATGAACGTCGCTCATCCTCACTATGCTCGTTGGCTGTGCATCGGGGCCCGTTGGACCGTCATCGGACGTTCACAGGGTGAGTTTGCGGCCCGCGCCAGTTCAGCGCGCGGTCCGAACTCGCAGAGGTCTCGAGCCTGGCCTCGTGCCCTCGGCCTGGGAGCCCGCTTGGGCCGTCTTGGAGGGCTCTCGGGCAGTCTTTTGGGCCATCGGGTCAGTCTTTGGCAGGTTCGGGGGCCTCCTGGGGCTCTCGGGAGCTTTCCCGATGCGATCTGAAGCCGAGAGGCCTCGGGAGCAAACCACAAAGCGCATTGATCCTCCACGTGATTTGCAATGTGTGTTCGCCTCTGGTCGCCTCGCTGGGTTCACCTTCGGGCGTCTCTTGGAGATTTCTTGGGGTTTCTTGGGGAGATCTTGCCGGTCTTTGGGGACTGGGTATCTTGGAGCTCTCTTGCGCTCTTGGGTTATCTTGAGGCTCTCGTGGGCCGTCTTGGGACCCTCTTGGGCCTTCTTGGAGTTGTCTTGGGGGCATTCTGGGCCGTTTCAGGGTGATCTTGGGGTGGAAGCTCGAAAAGGCAAACATCCGATAATCTTGCAAGGATCCTGTGGGAGATCAATCATTCATGCGTCTTTAGGGTCTCCTGGGCATCCTCTCGGAGCCCTTCGTAGCCATCTTGGGCCGCCTTCGGGCCCTCTTCGGCAGTCTTGGTGCTCCTTGGGTTGTATTCGGACGGTCTTCCAGCGTCTCGCCGCTGTGACGGGGCGGCCTCTTGACTGTCCTGAATCCGCCTGGAAGCCCGAAAGGGCGTTGGGAAACCCTCTGGGCCCTAGAAACGCTGAGTCAACCACATCAGGCAACACAGGCGCATTCTAATACCTCCCACGGTGCAGGGGTGGACCTGAACGGCGTTTTGGCGATTTCGTGGGCCGTTTTCGTTTCGATGTCGTTTTGCGGTAAAGGCGGATCGAAGACAAAACGAGGGAAAACGAAAACGACAACGAGAACGAAACATATTGTTTGGGTCCAGCCCTGCCACCGTGCCCACGCCACGGCGGCGGACAACAATCTTCCGGCCTTCGGCCCTGCCGCCGCCCGTCCCGCCACGGTGCCTGCTCCTCGGAGCGCTCTCGGGGGCCCCTTGGGAGCCCCCCGAGGGCCTCTTGGGGCCCCTCGGGGCCTCTGGGCTCGACATGTCCGTTCGGGTTCCCCGCCTGGGCGCCGTCTTGGTGCTGCTTTGAGGCCCTCTTGCGCCGTCTTGGCCGCCTCTTGGGCCGTCTTGGCCGCCCTCTTGGGCCGTCTTGGGGGGCCTCTTGGGTCGTCTTCGGGCGGTCTTCGGGGCCTCTTGGGCTTAGGGGCGTCGGGAAGCCGACAGGCGCTAACGCTGAAATTCTTCAAACACCTAAGGAAACTCAATCAGTTTCGCCTCGTGGGGCTCTCTCGGGAGGCCTCTTGGAGGCCTCTAGGGGTGTCTTGGAGGCTTCTTGTACCGTCGTGGAGCCATGAGCGATCTTACGGCGACTCGGAGCACTCTTGGACCATCTCGGGGGTCCCTTGGAGCTCTCTTGGCCCGCCTTGGAGCCCTCTTCGGCTCCAAAAAGGCATGCGAAAAGCCGCGGGGAATTGCAACAAGCCCCCGACCAGACGCGAGAAGCCCAGGGAGGTTCGAAAATTTTGGGTCCGGGCCCTTGTATAAAGACTCGGGAGTGAGGATCGAGGCTCAGAGGAGGCGAGAAAAGGACCCGAGAGTACGCCCACTCCGTGCCCAGCTGTCTGGTGCCGAAGACGTCTTCATCTGAGGTCTGGGGGTGCTTTCATCCAGGTCCCCCCCAGGAGTGCGGCGATGATAGCCGTGCTTCTCGCGTCGCGGCCGCGGCTGCCGAGCAGGCCCTCGTCAGTGAGCGGCGCGAGGGCGAGACGGGCCCGCGCATCACCGGGCGCGGTGCGCGAAGTTTAGACGAAGTGGGTACGGAAAGAATGGGCACGATGCCCAACAGCAGTTCTTGTTCACCTTGAGCAGGGCTCGCTGTCCGCGCTGCCGCGGACGTTGGTCTCCGAGGGCAAAAGGCCGCCTGCCCAGCAGCGGCCGCTGTCGGTTTTGGACAGCGTCTGTTGTTCGGAGTGGTACCCAGTTTTCCCGTACCCGTGTCAGGTGTCCACATGACTATTCCGCGACGCGCGTGATCAAGCGGTGGAGGAGGCGTGCGGGAGGGCCTCTGGGCCTCGCGTCGCGCGGAGGAGATGCGGGGCCGGGCGGGTGCCCGAGGGTCGCGCCGGGTGCCTCGCGGGCTGGGCCAGAGAGCAGAGCCCGCGCGGAGCGTGCTCGGTCTCCGTCTGGACCTGCCACGTCTGGGCGTGGCCTCTCCTCGAAGGGTGCTGAGTCCGTGCGGAGTGCTTCCACGCGGAGTGTCCAGCCTGTCTTGGCTCTCGCTCCGTTCGGGCTGGACTTCTCCGGAATGTCTTCGGATAAGGCTCAGGCAATTTCTCGGAAGGCCGGAGGTCTTCGAGCCTTCCGAGGCGGCCCACCCTCCCCGACTTCCCCTGGGCTCGTCGCCGAGATCCGATGCGATCCCCTGATCCGATGCTGCCTGATCCAGGGGAGCTGCGTTTCGGTGCCAGAGAGAGCGAAAAAACAGAGCGGCGCACCGTACCTCGCGCATCGTAACGCGCCAGGTCTGCCACTGGAGGTCCCAGGAGGGTCTCCCATCCGCGGCAACGAGTGGGGGGACATGCTCCGGGGTGGCACGATGCATCGACCCCGAGGCGCCCGTGGATCGCCAACAGGCCCGCGATAGCCCACCCCGCCAGGAGGAAGGCGCGGATTCGCTCTCGGGGGCCTATCGCCGATCCAGCGGCGATGCATCGCCGATGCCAGGGCGATGCCTCCCCCCCTGAGCTGGTCTCCCCCGAACGTTCCCTCGCAGGGGGGTTCCACGAGGCTTCCGTGGCGCTGCATTTCTGGGGGGCCTGTGCCTGCGCGGGTCCAGCGCGGGTCTGGCGCTGGACCCGCGCAGGCACAGGCCCCCCAGCGCGGGTTTGGTGCTGGGCCTGCGGTGTCCAGCGCGGGTTTGGCGCTGGGCCGGCGCGGATGCGACACGGATTCGGTTATCGACATGGATTCCGTCGCGAATAATTGCGCGATGAGACAGCGAAGATCCGCTCAAGATGCAACATAACCTCCGGAGGCTTTCAAGGGAGGAGGCCCCCACAACCGGCTTCAGCCGTCCGGGGCGTGTACTGAACAGTCCTGCCCGGCTGGGCTGCGCACGTTGTGTGGGTGCTTGTTGCCAGGTAGGTTCAGAACTTCTGCACCCTCGGCCTTCCTGTATGCCCAAAAGCCCTCGATCCCTCTTACCCGACGGTTCGCAGTCGGCACGCTCGCTCATCGTTCAGGCCACGGTTCAGTGCATGAGATTGCCCCTCGCAGGTCGGCTCGTGCGGTGCTCCCGGTTTGCCTGGCGACCTCTTGATCCGCACAGCGGTCGAGGCCGAGGCGGGTGCAGCTCTGTGATCGCGTTCCCTCCTCCTCCTCCTCCTCCTCCTCCTCTTCCTCCTCCTCCTCCTGGGGAAAACAAGAAACCAAACATCCCCGACGGGCAGGAGGGGCGGGCGCCAGGTCAAGCTCGAGAACCTGCTCCTCGACGAGCAGGGCGTGGTGAAGATCATCGACTTTGGCTTCTCCACCGTCGTGCCGCCCGGGAGCGCCGCCCGCGCCCTGCCCGCCGCGGCCTCCCCGGGGCATCCTCGCGCCGCGAACATGTCTCCGGGCCTCCGAAATGGGGTCCGAGTAGACGGGGTCCGAGGAGGAGGAGGAGGAGGAGGAGGAGGCGGAGGAGGAGGAGGAGGAGGAGGAGGAGGGTGCCTGGCCTCCCCTCTCCCAAGGCGGGACCTCCGGGGCTTCCCTCCCCAGGCCTCCCAGCCGGGGTCGGGGCGGATGGGGTCGAAGGACCGCTCGGCATCGACGATGCATCGACGATGCGGCTCGATGCGGAGCCAGAGTTCCTCCACGCCGACGGCACCGATGCATCGCCGTCGTCGCCGGCGCATCGGCGATGCAGTGGCGATGCGGCGCGATCCTCCGACTCCATCTGCTTGGACCCCGTCCAGGAGGCCTCCACACACGTCGCGGCGGAGAGTTGCTCGCAGTGTTCGGCCCCTGGGGGGCCACTTGCGGTGCGCGGGACCGTCGAAGAATCGCTCAGGGCGTAAAGGCATTTACTGGGAGGGAGTCCAGCCCTCTGCGGAGCCACGCTGTGAACGAAGCCGCGACGTCGGATGTCCGGGTTCGTCGGCAGGGTGTGGTCGAGGAGATTAGGAGCTTGTGGGGCGCCCCGCTCCAGGAGGTGTGCCGTCATGGCTCCTAGCAGAATGTCTGCAGCTCCCTCCCTTCGCCCCTCCCTCCCCCGTCCATCCTGCGGCCGTCCTCCCCTTCGGCGACCTGGATCCGTCACGTGATGCGAGCCGGAGGAGGATTTGGAGGAAGAGGAGGAGGAGGAGGAGGAGGAGGAGGAGGAGGAGGAGGAGGATGAAGGAGGAGGACGAGGAGGGGGGAATTTCGCATCACGTGACGACATCCCTCTGCCTCCCCCTCCCCTCCTTCCTCCCCCTCCTCCTCCCTCCTTCCCTCCCTCCCTCCCTCCCTTCCTCCCTCCTCCTCCTCCTCCTCCTCCTCCTCCTCCTCCTCCTCCTCCTCCTCCTCCTCCTCCTCCTCCTCCTCCGAGCGCCGCGAGTCGCTTTGCCGCGGGCGCTCGTTGGTCGGGAGCCGGCGCACACCCTCGCCCCCTCGTCCCTCAAACGGGATGGTTCCCCCGGGAGTGGCGCGCAAAAGGCGGCCGCTCCCAGGGGGAGGGGGTGCGCCGGCCAGGGCCTCTAGTCTGGGCATACCCGGGAGCACCGTGGGGACCTGCACGACCAGGCCGCCGCGCGCGCCGCCGCCTCCTGTGCGGTCCCACCGCCAGGCGCCACCGGCGCAGCCCCACCGCAAGGGGGGCCGCCGCCGCACGACACCACCCCGACATCGGCGCCAGGTACGGGGGCTGCCCCCCCGTCGGGGGACCCGTACCCTTTTCTCTCCCCAGGGGGGACGAGCCCACGCCCCTGGCAAGCCAGGGGTCCGCCCGTCGACGGCCCTGGGGAGCAGCCGACCCCGAAATGGTTGTGGGCAGCGGCCTCCAGCGCTCGCGCCCCTCCGCCGCTCGCCCGCTGCCCTGCTGGTCCGCGAGCCTCCTCCAGCTCGCAGCGGCGCCCCCGGCCTTGCCCGCGCGCGCCCGCAGCCCAGCCGCCCCGCAGGCCCCCTGCAGCCCCCCAGCCCCCAGCCGCAGCCTGGCTCCCCGGTGCGCCGCCCTGCAGCGCCGGCGCCGCCTCCGCCGCCTCCAGCCGCCTTGGCGCCGCGTCTGCCCTCAGCCTCCCCCTCCTCCGCCCAGCGCCCGCTGGGCGCCGCCCGGAGCGCGGCGGCCGCCCGCCAGGGCCTGGCGTGGGTGGCGGCCAGCACCGCGTCCGCAGCGTGCCGCTGCAGCACGCAGCCAAGGGCCTGCTGGAGCTCGCGGATGGCCGCCGAACGCCCCGCGTCGTCAGCAGGCGCCAGCCTCTTGGCGAGGGCCGCCGCTTCCTCCCCCAGCCGCCCGTGGTCCTCCACTACGAAGGGCAGCACGGGCACCAGAGGATAGCGAGCTCGTTTCCTTCTTTCCGCTGCTGCTGCGGCAGCCCCGTCCCTCCTCCTCCTCCTCCTCCTCCTCCTCCTCCCTCCTCCTCCATCCTCGCTCCTCCTCCTCCTCCTCCTCCTCCTCCTCCTCCTCCTCCTCCTCCTCTCCTCCTGCGGCTCCCCGCCCCGAGAGGGGGGAGCTGGCCGCACCGGCGCGCGCGCGCGCCCCGGCGGGGGCGGTTCAAGCCAGGGCTCGTGCCCGACCTCGCTTCGCGACTCGAGGGGGAGCGGAGGTGGATAGACCTCCTCCTCCTCTCGTCTCCTGCCTTATCTCCCTCCTTCCTCCTCGTCCTCTCGCCTCTTCCTCCTCCCCAGCCTCCCGCCTCCCTCCCCACCTCTGATTGCCCAGGTCACGTGTGCGTGGCGTGGCAGGGGGAGGCACAACCCCGACGTTTTTTTGTTCACAACGTGGAGGCCAGGTCTCACCCCTTCCTCGGGGGGGATTTCGGAGGTGGACAGACCTCCTACCCTGACACGTTGATTAAGGAATTGGCCGTTCTCAGTTCGCGAGAGGGCGTCGCGGCCGTCATTTTTGCGGGTCCAGGCCCGTCGGTTTCGGTCCCAGGCCTTTTTCTTTAGGGGGAGGTTTACTGAAGGGAGTTTTGTCCACCGCCGAGGGGAGCAAGGCTGCCGCGTGAGTCGCGTCGGGACTACCACAAGCTGCGGGTGTGTTTTTGGAAGGTGCGTCAGACGGGAAGTTCTGCCTCCCCTGGCGGTCGGGGTGCGCGAGGGGGCCCTACTCCCGCGTCGCATGCCGCCAGAGGTCGTGTGGCTGCTTCCATGAATTCTGGGTGTTGGCGGGCCTTCACTGCCAGCGCTGCGTGGTCTGCACCTCGTGGTATTTCGAGGAGGGCACGTGTAAGCACGTCCTGCAAACAGGCAGGTATTGCTCCAAGTTTGGCCGATTGGGGTTCATCCGCCCTCCTTGGCGCTCGGTGTGCGATGGGGCGTTTTTCCCTAGTCGCAGGTCGCCAGGGGTTGAGTGGCTTATTCTTCAATCGATTCTGGTTGTGAGAGGGCCTTCGCTTTCACTTCCAGCGCCGCGGTGTCGTCTCCAGTTGGTGCTTGAAGTAAGGCGGGTCCGTGCGCTTTCAGACTGCGATCAGGCATGTGTCCAAGTTTGGTGGCTCTGGGTATTTACCCTCCCTGGCGGTCGGGGTGTGAGGGGGCTTTCTTCCCTAGTTGCATGCCGCCATGGGTTTAGTGGCTTATCCTGTTGTCGAGCCTGGGAGGCGGCGGGCTGCCACGGGTGGTATGCTGCGATTGTCTCTCAACTGTACTTCTGGCGGGCAGCCCCTCTACTTGTCCTGGCTCTCTTTCAATTCAAGGTTGTGGCAATTACCCGCGGCGCTTCTCATGTACAGCGTCTGGGTGTTGCTGCGTCAAATCAAATTTGCCGTTCATGCCGATATCAAGTCGTGGCTTGGCCCACGGAAGTGACAAGAGTTCACGGGGGGCAGATTGAAACGCGTGGTGTCGTCAAGGGGTGAGTTGCTGTTGTCTGCTCTCAGTGTGGAGTACTGGTAGTATTGGTTGTTTTACCTTCGTTTGACGTTGCCGAATAGACGGCCACGTCGTCCTCCACTTTGCTGGATGTGGCATCTGGCATTCGCCTATATCACTACGTTTTCACGGTTGTCACCGTATGCATGTTCCTCGCACGCATGGGTTGGAAGTTCCTTCTGGTGTTGTTGACCTCGCGGGAGAACGCACGCGCGGGTGACAACACACATTGCATATCCATGTGCAGTCGGCTCTGTTTTTTCGACGGAGCAGCAGCGCTGTGAAAAAAATGCCTGAAGTTAACCAGTGCGCGTTGCTCCTCAAAGCAGGCACGGAGAGGGGGCGCGGCGGCCGAGTTGATCCTCCGTTCCCCTCCTCCCTGACCTCGCTCCCTCTTCCCTCTCCTCCCCCCTTCCCCCTCGCTGTCTCCTCCTCCTCCTCCTCATCCTCCTCCTCCTCCTCCTCCTCCTCTCCCTCCCTCCCGTCCCTCCCTCTCTCCCTCTCTCCCGCCTCCTTACCCTCCTCCTCCCTCCGTCCTGGGTGTTGCATCTCCACCCGCTGTGCTCCCCTTTCCGCCGCATCGTGTCCCTGTCGGCAGCCGGCGCATAGCCCCGCGCCGTTATTTATTCGATGCACGCGCGCTGCTCTCTTGGGCGTCGGTGAGCTTCAGCGAGCGGAGTCGCCCTCGGGGGCGTCCAAGGGGGGGGGTACGGCGGACAAGGTTTGTGTATGCGTGCGTGCGTGCGTGCGTGCGTGGGTGCGTGCGTGCGTGCGTGCGTGCGTGCGTGCGTGCGTGCGTGCGTGCGTGCGTGCGTGCGTGTGTGTGTGTGTGTGTGTGTGTGTGTGTGTGTGTGTGTGCGTGCGTGCGTGCGTGCGTGCGTGCGTGCGTGCGTGCGTGCGTGCGTGCGTGTGTGTGTGTGTGTGTGCGTGTGCGCGTGTCCACTTGATCCCGCTCGAGGGCCCGGCCGCACGCTTTACCCGCTGCTCCGACTCGCTCCGCCTCGCCGCCGCGCGGCGGGGCTGCGGCCGCAAGACAGCCTGCGTGTGTGTGTGTGGATATCGTGGCGGGTGCCGCGAAGTCGCTCGCACCTGCTGCTTCCCTCTTCGGGTGATCTCCGTGCCCCCCTCTGCCCCCCCCCCCCTCCCCCCTCCCCCTCCCCCTCCCCTCCCCCCTCCCCCCTCCCCCCTCCCCCTCCCTCCCCACCTCCCTCCCTCCCTCCCCTCCGCCGCGAGTGGCGCGCCTCGGGCCGTGCGTGGCGCGCTCGCTGGGCCGGCGCGTCCGACGCCCGCAGGGGCGCACAGGCCGCGCGCCGCGGCCCGAGGGCCGCCCTGCGGCCCGAGGGTGGCGGCGCGCGGGCGCGGAGGGCCGAGCGCACTCGCGGCGCGAGGCGCGAGGCGGCGAGGCGCCGTGAAGGCGCGAGGCGGCGCGGCGCGCGCCGGGCCTGCGGGGGCGGAAGGGGACGGTGGCGTGCTCCCTCGGGCCTCGTGCCTGGCACCCCCTCTTCCTCGCCTCCCTTCGCTCCTCCCTCTTCCCTCTCCTCCCCCCGCCGCTTCACGCTTCCCCCCCTCCTCCAGTCCGGCCCAATCGCGTCGCGACGGCGGCGACGACGGTGGCGACTGGATGCCACCCAGAAGCGACCGACGGACCAGAGACGAAGTGGAGCTCTGGTCCGACTGCGTTGGAGTGCTCGCAGTGCGGAAGCGTCAATGCGTCGTTTCAGTATCCCTTATGTTGTGCACATGTGCTCCCGAATTGTATGTCAATGGGCTGCCAAAGTAGCCCGCCACCTGGCGAGCCGTCGGACCAGGAGAGCGTTAAGCTGGACTCCTAGTCAGGTTGCCAGACAACAGGGGTGGAAACGTCAAGGCGAACAACAACAACAGGTGGTGCGACTACACGACAATTCTTACACGGCTTGGGCCAGCAAGACGACGATGACACACACACACACACATCGCGGCGCGAGCGACGTCACACGAACACGACATTACCAGCATTACGACGTCAACGACACGAAGTGGTTGCAAGCGGCGGCGCAACCATGGTGGCCTTCACACGACGGAGACTCTCGCAGGATCTGATCTTCCAACTTCCGGCTTCCAGGTTTTTGGGGCGACGGCCTCACGTGCCCTGCCCGCACTGGCACAGGCACGCGCGCT